AGTTGGTTCCATTAGGACAATCGTTTCCTCCCAAAAGTATGTACGATGCTTGGGTGACAATGACGGTTTAGTACACAGCTCCACGCGACACATTGCGAGCTGAGTTGCTCGGTCCCTTTTATTTCCAGCATGGCCGTGGTGTGCAGCGTATGAGATCATTTCATCCAAACTAATGCTACCGCTTCTGTCTTTTATGAAAGCAAAAGAAATGAAATGGTAGCAATAGCAACCAAGTGGAAGAAATTAAGACAAGAAATACACACACCGCAGGTGAACAGAAGCATAGACAGCCCAGCTAAGAGCATCTCTATCGTATCCCTCATATCCCGGAGTGAATTGCAAAAAACCACCACATTTTAAGTTCACATTCGGATTTGCCATCACATTCCTTGAACGCCCCAAAAATCTATCACTTTCCTTGCTAATTTTTTCAATAAACACTAATGATCGATTTGGGATGATTTAATCCAATTTCTGACAGAAAGGGCCCACCTATAAGCGCTGTGGTGGCACTAAAAGTCAAAGAAAACGATGTTGACTGTTAAATTAGACAAATGGCCCATTAATCAGGAACCCCTCCTTCCCCATGATCCCACGTGGTCGCTGTGGTGGCACTAAAAGTCAAAGAAAACGATGTTGACTGTTAAATTAGACAAAATGGCCCATTAGTCAGGAACCCCTCCTTCCCCATGATCCCACGTGGTCCATCTCTCTGGAGCCGCCCGTGTGTCCTCGTCGAGATAGTCGGCGCATCCCGGCCACCTCTCCTCCCGTGCTCCGCCCCTCAACCATCCGTCATGTCTTCTCCCTTCGAGCGTCGGCGAGATCCACCGCCCTACGTCCCATCCCGCACAGCCATGTACCGGATCCCGCAGCCACCTCTGCTCCCGTGACGAGGTTTGTCCTTCTCCTCTCCGGCGTGCTGCGAGCCGATCCCCAACTCCGAGCTCTTCGGCGTGTGGCGGCGTTGCGGTTCCTGATTGAGGCTTGGGTGCCCGCCAAGGAGCAACCGCGCGTGCTGCAGCCGCCGAGCTCTTGGCCCGGGCCACCGCGACAAGGGAAGCCTTTCCTGTGGCCGCTGGCGTGGCCGCCGGAGTTGGCTTTCCGAGCCCCTCTGTCCACGCCTATCTCCCCTCCGACGGTAACAGTGCTCACGGGCACAACAACCTCCCTGCAAGGGGTCAATTGTAATCTAATTTTGTTTCTAGGGCATTTTTTGCAAATTTCTAGGGACCCTTTTGTTATTTCAGCTGATGACTGGTGGACCATATGTCTAACTTAACGGTCAACAAATAGTTTTGACCGTTTATGCCATGTCAGCGCTTACAGGTGGGCCCTTGTATGTCAGAATTTGGATTAAATCATCCCAAATCAATCATTAGTGTTTATTGAGAAAATTAGCAAGGATACTGGTAGATTTTTGGGGCCCCCAAGGAATGTGGTGGCAAACCCGGATGTGAACTTAAAATGTGGTGGTTTTTTGCAATTCACTCCATCTCGCGGCACCATACCAGCATTATAAGAAGAACCTTAAACCAGTTATTCCCGGTGATCTTCTTCTCCTTCCTTTTACCCGCATCTCTCTGGATCCTTGCTGCCGCACACCGAGCAATCCGCCTCCGCACACGATGAACCTTGGTCGCCGCACACCTCGCAAGCCGCCTCGCCCGCACCTAGCCGCGCTGCGGAGTGCCGACTGGAACCACGACTGCCCGTAAGGCGCCACCACCTCGTCGGCGATGCCGACATACCTCCTGTCCACGAACAGCCATGACGATAGTAGCATGTCGCCGTCCCTACCAAGGGATTGCACCGGCCCATCGAAATAAACTTGAATCGCTCCGTATCAGGCTAGTCCGCCAGAAATTTGCCCCGAATTCGGAACATCCGAGGGATTCGGCCATAGACAGGTATCCTCCGCCCCCTGCTAATGTCGTCCATGGTGGACACCACGTCCGGCAAGTGTTCGGCCAAATGCTAGTGGGAAGCTTTTTGACATTATCACAATAGTACATGTAAACGTGAGGATAAGTATGATTGCCATAAGAAAGCAGGCTCCATTTCAGTCAGTTGCTCCATCCGATGGGTCCATAAAGTAAGGTCTTCGATGATGAGCGCGAGAGAGGTGATGTTGTGAAGGTCCTATTGCCGGAAGGTCATTGCATTCCAGTTTTTTCATAGAATGATGAGTAGGGCGGTGTTACATATTTCACCATTTAGGGCGGAGGGTATTGGGCAGTCCCAAAGGTACTCGGTGTCGCTCGTTGGTATGATGTCAATTCTTTTGCCAAATTCTGCACGCTA